TTATCATGCTGTTGTTAGGTTCTGTCAAGACGAGTATGACTCACAGTGACCCTATGAACAACAAATCTGCACCTTTTCTTATCCTGCGTCATCCTCACAATCTCTGACACTCTTGAGCCCATGGCTGCAGTCACTGTCAGTCCACCTGGTTGAGGCTCTTCCTCTCTCTCTTTTCTTAAAAAAAAATTAATTTTTTTTATTGATATTTTAATGAAAGGTTATAAAGAACTTAGGTTTCCAATCATTAATTGTTGCACCTTTTCCTCCCTTCCCCTCACCCCTCCATATCACTTTTTTCTTTGGAAAAAAATTATTTCACTGTTATATAGTCCCCTTCACCAGACCACTTTACTATGCAGCTCTTACTCTGGATTCCTGTCATGCCAATTATACCTAATTATATGTTCCTTTTATACAGTTCTCTCCCTTGTCTGTTTCAATGCCGAGTAGATTATTTATCCCCTCTTTTCTTCGTTTCCCTCCAGCCCCCATGTCAGTCCTGTCTTATAACAAGTGACATTATGCCACATTTGCCTCATTGTGACTGAAATATTTCACTCAGCATAATGTCCTCCAGGGTCACCCATTTTGTATAATAATTCATGAGTTTCTTGTTTTTCAATGCAACATAGTATTCCATTGTGTGAATGTACCACAGCTTCTCTGTCCATTTGTTTGATGATGGGCATTTGGGTTGTTTCCAACTCTTTGCTATTGTCAACAAAGTCGCAATAAACATGGGTGTGCATATATCTGTGTGGGTGGCAGTTCTGGTTTCTTTAGGGTATATTCCCAGAAGTGGAATTGCTGGGTCAAATGGTATTTCTATTTCCAACTTTTTTAAAAAGCGCCATACTGCCTTCCACAGTGGTTACACCATTTTATACTCCCACCAACAGTGAATAAGGGTTTCAGTTTCTCCACAACTTCGCCAGCATTTGTTGCTTGCTGTTCTGTTAAATTTTGCTATTCTTACTGGGGTGAGACGGTATCTCATAGCTGTTTTGAAAAAAAATACTTTTAATTTTATATTGGCTTGTATAGACATTGTATTTCATACAACCATTCCCACTTATTATATTTTATAAAATTAATCAACACTGAACTATGCCCACCACTGGGCATAGTTTAATGTTTCCAGATCCCCACTGTCTTTTCCATTTCCTTTGCCCACCCCTCCCTCCATCCACCAGTAGACTGAGTTGGGGAAATAATAAATTCCCTGTAACTAAAGGAAGATAGGCAAAAAAATCTCCGATTTTCAAAACCTCAAATAATGTAAAAACCCTAGAACTATTACAGTTGCTGGCAGTTCAAAACTCTATCTTTTCAGCTTGAAAATCCATTTGGACCACACTATTCTGTTTAGCCTGTAGACACTGCTCTGTTGTCTTCTGGCATTCAGAATATAAACCATTATAGAAAAACTATCAAGTCTTCACAAAGGGACTGGGGAGAGTGGGGGAATACCAAAAAGAAAGAGAAGGAGGGAGGAAGAAACAAACCTATCACTTGATTGAAAGTCTATGAAAACACAAAGCAAAATGTATAAAGGCATCGTGGGGTCAAAGTGAGCAAATAAGTCCCAGCCACAAACAATTCTGAATCCATGCAAACTGGAAGAGTCTCCGATGTTTCACACATGCATCTGTTTCATACAGGACGGAAGCCTTTAAAACTTCTATATGTATTTATAAATTACGCACATAAGGGAGACACAGGAACCCAGAGATGAAGGACACAGTTTGCAAAGTGGCAAGAAAAATAAAAAAGTGAGGAACTTACTGTGGCCTGTGTTTGTGCAATGTATTCATTTTCCATCTTGTTCAGACGTACATTTGTGTCCTCAAGCAATTCTTGAATATTTTCTGTGTGCTTCTTCTGAAGATCAAACTTTTCCTTTTCCATTTCTGCTACCGCACTGTGAAGCTGCACAAGGAAATTGAGAATTAACTCTCTAACTATCACGGAATACACTATTTTGCAACGTAGAAGAAGAGCTTTTTTTCTATTCCTCCACATACATATTTATGTGGCAACCTGAAACACAAATGTAATGTAATATACTCTACAAACATTTAAAGATATAAAGATAATAAGTATTTAAACCATTTAATGAACAGAATTAAGAAAAATATCATTTTCTTTTCCTGAATTAAAAGTTGGATGAGTAAACAAATATTACAGGAAATTCTCTTTAGCAGGTATAAAGAGAATAAATAAATCACAGAGTAACAAGATGCCTGAACCAAGCAGGTCCTGATACACAGAGGACCGTTAATGACTGATACCATTTCAAGTCTATATTATTCATCGTATTTTACAAAATTTTACACGAGTAATGTTAAAAATTAATTCCTTTCCCAACTTAATATCCAACAAGGAAACTGCTTTTAGCCTTTCATAATATATTCAAAAGCAGAAGCAGAGATTACATCCATAAATTAAACACAGACTAAACAGGATGTGGAAGGAAAATAATACATTATGTGCCCTCCTGTCCACAGGTCTGTCTTTATAAAGACTATTACGATTTTACTCTATTTGAATAGATAGTGCTTTATCTGTGCAAACTAAGATTTAGAAAGCCAAGTAGCAAATACAGGGGGTCCAGAAAAATTCCCCTGGACAGTTTCCAAGGGACTCTGAAAACGGCAATGAAATGGCTCCACACAGGGAGCACAATTCGGAGACCAACTCCCTCAACATTCTGTCTCCAACTCAGGCTCCAGTGTTGAGCGTGGAGAACAAGAGCCCAAAATAATCTCCATGATAGATTTGCTTCCTCAACAACGAGCAGGGGAGGGAGACACGGGCCTGACACATGCAGTGTAGACTCTTATTTGACAAGGAGATGCATTCCAGCGCCAGAAACTCTGAGAGACGGTGAGAACTGCAGGAAGACTGTAGGCAGAAGCAGCAGTAACTACTGAAAAGAAAGGGCCCAGGAATTTTCCTCCAGCTTCTGGTGAGCAAGAAGAGTGAGCCTGCTCAGGAATAGCCACAGAAAAGACGTTGAATTTGCACCATTTAACATACACAGTTTTGACTATCTAAAAGAAATCTGGAAAATCCCTGCTTTGTTGTATTTGTATCTTTGCCCAAGTGTACATTTCCACCTGAATTATAAGCCAGTGTTTGGAAGATGGTCACTTAGCTGGCACAAGTTACAACCCTTAACTGGCAGTGCGGCTTCATACATGTTGACCAACACACCACAACTCTGACAAGGAGGCATGAAGGAGTCACGGAGAATTTGGCAGATAGAAGTGTAAGGGAATGTCAAAGAGGTTTCCTCAAGTCTGAGTGTAGAAAAGGTCTTGGACATAATAAGCCTACTGAGTAGGCCACCAACACACAATAGTTTCTTACTGGCGTCCCACAACTGCTTTTTAAAAAAAATTTTTTCTTCTAATATTTGTTTTAATATTATTTATTCTGATTTATTTACAAAGTTTGAATACATTGTTTTTCACAAAAGATCCTTCCCATTTCCTTCACCCCACCAACCCATCAAATTGTGCAACACTGTAATTAATACCCTACGCCCCCACCCACCCATCCTCACTCCTCTATTTCCACCACCCCCCCCACCCTGGATCCTCATATTCATTCTACAGTTATGGCTTTCTACAGTATTTGTCCTTGTGGAACTGAGTTAGTTCACTCAGCATATTGCTTTCCCTCCCAATTTAGGCAGTAACTTTTGGCAGTAAGTTAGGATTGCTCCTGCGTGCTGTGTAGTATTCCATTGTATGAATGTACCACAACTACTCAACCCATCAGTTTATGGTTGACCATCTGGACTGTTTCCATGTTCTTGCAATGGTGAATAATGCTCCTATGAACACTGTTGAACAAGTTTCCGTTTGGGCCTCAGTTCTCATTTTCTTGGGGTAAACTTTTTCCAATAGGGTGAAAAGAAAACCTACTGACTGGAAACAAATATTTGATAACACCATCTCAGACAAGAGTCTCATAACAAAAGTTTATAGAAAACTCCTGGGCCTCCACAAGAAAAAAGACTGATAACCCAATTACAAAATGGGCCAAAGACATGGAAAGACTTTTCACAGAGGAAGATTTTCAAATGGCCAACAGACATATGAAGAAATGCTCCAAATCACTGGCAACAAGCAAGATGCAAATCAAAACCACAATGAGATACCATCTCACTCCACTAGCTGTGACAAAGTTTAACAGGACAGCAAGTAATAAATTTTGGAGAGGATGTGGAGAGATAGGAACTCTTTTACATTGTTGGTGGGATCGTACAATGGTACAGCCTCTCTGGAAGGCAGTTTGGTGTTTCCTCAAAAATCTGAACATAGAAATTCCATATGACCCAGCTATTCCATTACTTGGAATATACCCTGAGAATATGAGAACTGAGGTACACCAATAGTTTGGAAAGATCCCTGAAAGCAGACTTATCTCCTTATCTCCTGACTGCTGGTAACAAGGATGTTGACTATGGATCTAAGAAAGACAAAATTATTAACAGTTTCTCCATCTACCATGACGCTGCCCATTGGCCCAATGGTAAGGACCTTTGTCTTCTTGACGTGGGTGAACTAACTAAGTCCCACAAGGATAAATATTGTTTAAGACTGCTATTATAGAATGAGTATAAGAATACAGGAGGGATGAGAGAGGCTGAAAGCAGAGGGATGTGGATGTACAGAGGGAAAAGGAGATTAATCATTGGGTTGAACAATTTGATGGGTGGGGAGTGAGGGAAATGGAAAGAAATTATTCAAATTTGTATTAGAATTTTGTAAATATACTAGTGAAAAAGATAAAATACATTAGATGTACTAATAAAAGTATAATGGCTGATAACCAAAGAAAAGAAAAAGATGCAATCTATATTGAAGATTGCAGTCTTTGATCTTCTATAACAAGCACTCTATGTCCGTTTGCTTTCAGTAAGCAAGGCTGTATAGTGCAGGCTGTGGGTGAGTTCCTCCAATCCTAATGCCACATTCTTCTTCATGGAATACAGCTTCTCAAATAATCTGCTCAGCATATAGATTGAGTAAGTATGGAGAAGGTGAGTGGTAGTGACTTTTTTATAACACTGTCAGTTGGCTGAAATGAGATTTCTGGGTGGTTTCATTCCAAGTTTAAAAAGTATCCCAGGCAGTATCTATACTGGTCCTGAAAGTCTGGCACTTTTTTTTTTTAATCATCTTCAATTCTTTCTACATTCTCCTCTCCTTCTACCCAGGACCATACACTGAGACCCTGCAGTGGCAGTGAAGCACCATCTAGTTTTTCTGGTCTCAAGCTTGGAGAGGTTACTGTTTGTGTAAACTATTAGCTCTACAGACTAGCTTCTTCTTTCAGTCTTTTACTTCTTTCTCTCACTTTTGCTCTGGAAGAGTAAAAACCAACAGGAAAATAGTTTTTTAGTTAAATGCTCCTCTAAGAATTAGTTTGTTTTCATCAAAATGAATTTATACTATAAATTCTAAAGTACAGATGACACCGTTACCTCTAATACCAGGGAAGAAATAATCCAATGGTCTAAATCTAAAATTATAATGTCTTCATTTACAAATATTTTACAGCTGCTCTTTTCCTTTGGTTTATAATCTACTGGCAATAACAAAAACTCAAGACAGTAATTAAATTCAAGGATTAGTCAACAAACACTGTTGACCACTCTGAAAAGAATTATAACAGAAGGTCCTTGGAAGAGCGGAGGAAATGTGGACCAAGACTCAAAACCATAGAAAGAGGGGGGAAATACCAGGCTTATTGGTCTACGAGAACCCAGGGACACAGAGAGACTCGGGCTTTCACCACCCTTCCAAGCCTGGAACCTAAATCTCTGTGGCTCAACTTTCAACCAACATATAGACAGGCCTACAAGGTGGGAGCCCTGGTGCCCTAGTGGCAGGAAGCTATAATGCAATCCCAAAGGTACGCAGTTCAAGGCCACCAGCTGCTCCATGAAAGAAGGATGGGAAATCTCCTATGTGATTAATTGCCTCTGAAAACCCACTGGAGGGTCAGCTATGGGTTAGTTGACTCTACGGGACACAACAACAACAACAAGGTGATCAATACAACTCACACCTCGCAAAAACAAAGCATACAAGAGAAAAAGGGCAGCACGTGCCCAAGGGTAGAGCTCAGAATGCAGGACAGAGAGCCAGAAAGGGAAACTGGAATGGGACACACTGTTGTGAGAAAGTGGGAAGAATGCAGGAACAAGCGTGGACTTCCATCAACCGCCAAAGAACAAAATACAAGTGTGAACTGTTGAAAAGAAAACCAATGTCTTCTGTAAACTCTCGTCCATATCAATAGAAAGTTAAAAAAAAATCCTCAAAAGTCAGCTTTCTGTAGGAAAACATACTTCAGAGCATTCGACTGCTGTCGCTGTTGTTGTGTACCATCAAGTCAGAACCAACCCACAGCTGACCCTCCAGCGGGCTTTCAGAGGCAGGAAATTGCACACGAGGAAACTTCCATCTTTCTCCCAGAGAGCAGCTGGTGGATTCAAACCGTGCACCTCTGAATTGGCAGAGCAACTCCTTACCACTACCAATCAGAACTCCCAATTAGACTTTTGGAATAATTCAAAGCATGAACAATAGCTATTTCTAGGCAGCAGACGTTTAAGCTCTTTTTTTAAACTGTGGTAAGTAAGTAGATATATGAAAACAAAATACAAGCCAATTCAAAAACTTTTACGTGCATAATTCAGAGACACTGGTTATGTTTGCCATGTTGGATAACCATTACCACTATTCTTTTCTAAATCGTTCTAACCCACCTTTAACAGAAATTTTGTACTCCCTGAACAAGTAATAAATTTAAATTTTCCTTTTCTTTTTTTATACTTTCCTATATATTTTACTAGGCAGACAGATTATCCAGGAGGCTGGGCTCTATGAGGAGAAGCGTGGTAGCAGGACTGGAGTAGACTCATCAACAACCTGTGTTATGCAGATGACATAACCTTGCTTGCTGAAACTGAGGAGGACCTGAAGCAGAAGGTCAAGGACTGCAGCCTTCAATATGGATTGAAGCTCAACATCAAGAACACAAAGATTCTCACCACGGGGCCGAATGGCAGCATCAAGATAGATGGTAAAGAGATTGAAACTGTTAAAAGCTTTAGTTTGCTTGACTCCAAAATCAATACCCTTGGTACCAGCAGTAAGGAAATTAAAAGATGAATTGCATTAGGGATGTCTAGTGTCAGAGACCTCTCCAAAGTACTAAAAAGCGACAATGTTAGTCTGGAAACTAAGATGGGCCTGATCCAGCCATAGTCTTTGCAATTACTTGCTATGCATCAGAAAGCTGGACAATGACTAGGGATGACAGAAGGATTTAATGCCTTTGAGCTGTGCTGGAGAAGAGTATTGAATATACCATGGACTGTTAGATGAACAAACAGGTTTGTCCTAGAAAAGGGTGAGACCAGGCTGCTCCTTGGAGGCAAAGATTCTGAAGCTTCGTCTGACATATTATGGACATGTTGCAAGGCAGGACCTGTCTTTTGAGAGGGACATCATGCTTGGGAGTGTGGTGGGACAGTGCAAGAGAGGAAGAGAAGACCCTTGATGAGATGGACTGACTCAGTGACTGGAGTAATGGGGAAGGTAAATCAAGACAATAAGATTGGCACAGGATAGAGCAGGTTTTAGGGCCCTTGTACATAGGGTCACTATGAGTTGCAGGCAACTCAATAGCACATAACAAAAACATTTTTTACTGTGAAAACACATTATTTTTACCATAGAGAATTTTACTTTGAAGTAGAAAGCTCATAGTTTGAGGGAATTTATATAATTCCATTTTGATTCTTGTTCTAACTTCTGTGGCTTACCTTTTTCTCCCAATCATTATTCAGGGATTCTGCACTTTGTTCACACATTCTTTTCAGCTCTGTAATCTGGTTTTCTTTAGTCTCTCTGATAACCTGGCAATCACGTATAAGGGTCTGAACTGTCAAAAATGATGAAAGCATAGTTAAAGCAATTCTAGATAATACATAAGAGTTTGATTATAGAACACGCAGTTCACCAGCTAACACTTAATCCAGTGTTTCACCAAGCATCCTCAAGTCTCTATTCTCAAATGTGTCTTATTCCTCCCTCTTCTCCATGCTCACCAGCACAGCCTTGGTTGAATTTGTCATCACTCACTCCCTAACAATTTTAACTCCTTGCTAACCTCAAGTATCACCCCATTCCTCTATTGCTTTAAGGAGGCTTTTCTCCAGGGCAAATCAATGGTGTGACCCAGGGGCTCAAAGCTATTCTCCAGTCCCTGTTACCAAAAAGAAACTTTGGATAAGGAAGCTACCTTCTTTACCACAAGCTATTCACCTGTATAGTAAACACATCAATCAATCTTCAGACTCTTGTGAACATATTCTTTCATGTATCATTGCTTAACTATAATCAACTATCTCCTCCCTGGAATTCCCTTCCTTCCTTATCTGAAAAATCTCTATTCGTTTGTGGAGTCTCAGTCAAGTAGCACATTCTCCAGTAATCATTCTGGCAGAGAGACAAAAAGAAATTCTCTAAACTTCTATAAATGCCAAACCCACTGCCATCAAGTAAATTTCATAATATCCCCATAGAATTTCATATTCTATTAAATCTATAACATTTTGAGTTAAGAACATTTGTCTATTTCCTCTATGAGATTATATTCTCAAAAAAAAAGTGTTTATCCACCAGACCATACAAGAAAGTGTTCAAAAAGTTCTATATCAAAGGAATAAATCATTTCAATAAATTACTGCTCCTAAAGACTTGGTACCATTTCCAAAGTTTGTTATTTAAATGGAATATTTTAAATTACATACAATATTGCCCTTAAAATATTTACATTTCTATCTTAAAAATTATTTAAAGTGCCACCAATCTAAATAAAGTTTTACTATATCCATATCATTTGGATAGTAAGATAAATTCAGCTGTTTATTTGCTTGAATAAATTATTTTCTTAGCCACTAAATACATATATTTAAAACTTATTCACTTCAAGATACCAAAGTTCTCATAACTTACATAAGTATTTTTTCACTCTTATATCCCAGCTATGCAACAAATAAAAGATGCAGAAATTAATACTAGTCCTTGACATCTTCAACACATTTTATTTTGTGGTTCTAAAATTAAACTACCATCTGCTTGCAATGAAAAAAGCCTTAATAAACATTATTTTTAAACATTAGGCATATTTAAATTGCCTGGTTTGAATCAGGGTAAGAAATGAAATCCTTGAAAGGAAGTTAAAATGTTCATATATTCACTGATAATATTTGGATAAGGAGTCTAAACAAGTTTCTAGTTATTTTTACTAACATTTACGGCTTCATATAAATATACTAATATCAATGTCATTAGTTAATTTGCATAGTTAGGTACCATCTTAAAATGTCAGGAGTGTCATTCATTCGGATACAGTCAAGATCAGTGATTTGGGATGGAGTCACTACACCCTACAGGAAAATCTCTAACTGAAACTGTCTTCTTGCTTGTCCATTTATTCATTACCTAATCTTATCTGAGATTCATCAGATCTTAATAACTGAGACGTCAAGAATTTCTATTCCATTCTATTCTCACTAAACCAACTCTCAGCACTCCCATGTTGGGTTCTGGATCATTGGTGACTCGTACACCAATTACAGTACAGACGTAAGACATCAGAGTTTGAGGGCATTTACCCATTCTGGCTTCCAACCAATCCATTTGGTGATCAGCATGTCAAACACAAGGGAATTCCTCCCGTCATTCAGCACATACTGAGTATCAGGGCTGAGACTGGAACCTGCAGTTTCTCGTAAGCAGCAAGCTCTCTGCCTCACACCAGAGGCAGCGCTGAGGAATGCAATGCCTCACCTGTTCAACACACCTACCATTATCAGGCTACTCCACACACACAGGAGAGCCTGAAACTCACCTCTTTGGCTACCCAGTACATACAGGATAAAATTCAAACATGTCAAAAGGAAATTCAAGGTGAGCTTAACCTAGTCCTAAATCACTATCTTAGTCTTTCCAATCTCTCTCATGAAGTATGGAGTCCCTTCACTGGATAAATGGCTCTTCAGCGTCCTTCCACAACCTGCCATCATCAGCATTCCACCACAGAATCTGGGACTCTCTCATCAGCCAGTCAAATACTACAGATCTTTTAAAGTTCTTTTCTCCAAAGAAATATTGTCAATACTTTCTATCATCACGACCTGCTGCATTTACATGTTCTGACCCATTAAACGATGACAGTCTCTATAGTACTTGATCAGTGCTTGCTTGCTTTCTTAATAAGAGTATATAAAAGGGGTATGTGTTTTAAAGTGTTTTCCAACAATTATAACGCTAGAAGCTGTAACACATGAAGCAGGTACTCAATGAACTGTTCCAGACAATGAGAAAGAATTTCCACAGAATTATGTCTAGAAACCAAAAAGCCTTAATCTCATGATTATACTCATCTTACCTATGGCAGTTCAAGTTCAATGAGTCAGGAAAGAGTTAAGTAGCAAGAGTGATAATGACAGACTGTTCCAGCACTTCAACTAAACCACTACCACTCCCATTACACTGATGCATGGTTATACACGTGTGTGTACAGGGGTGTGTGTTTGTGTGTGTGCGTGCATGTAATACAAGTTTATCTCCCGTCATTCATTTAAAAATACAAAAATCTATGCAACCGCACGCAGTGATGGAAGCCCACTTAAACATTCCAATCTGGCATGATTAATGTACATAAAACAAATTTTATTTTTTACAGACATTAATAAAATTAAGATAGTATTAAGAGATTTCTAGACCACAACATCACCTTTCTTTTCAAGTTTCCTAATAGTCTCCTCAGTTTCGTTCTGTTTTTGCTTGTATAAAGACTTCAATTCTTCTAGTTCATGATTCTTTCTGTCTAAAATCTGCAAGAAAATGTAAAACATTTCTGTGTGAAGTACTGCTTTAAATATAAAATACATAAATTTATTAAATATTTTCTGCAAATCTCTCCCAGTTAAAACTATAAACAGTTTCCCTCCAAAAAACGTTAAAAACAATTACAGGTTAGTACTTTGGAGAAATGATGAAATATACTAGAACAATTGATTATCTGAAAGAAATGTTATCTGTTTTGAATTTTCGTGTATAAATTTTTAAGGACATTATAAATAATAAATTAGGTGATTCTCTAAAATATAATTCAGAGACTAAACTGTCACAAAGTAGCAGAGAAAAGCCATCAGAAACTTGACATGTTAGGACAGTAATATTCATTGGCTTGGAATAGAGCATTTTTCTGGAGAGCATATCCCCGAATTCTCCCACCAGTATCCTTCTAGCAATTTAATGCAATAACAATAAGAATTCCCAGAGATATGGGAAGATGACACTTATTAGACTTCTTTGATATCTGGCTCTGCTCTCATGAATCAGAAAAATCAGCTCAAAATGTGTCAAAAATTTTATGGATATTTCACATATCATTAATTTATTGTGCATCAGAAGTTTATCTTTTAATAATTTAATAAAAATTTGGTATGGGGTTACACCTCTAAAGATATTTATACTACCAAAAAAAAATCCCCAAAATGACAAAATAAAAATAGGACGTTAACAAGCAAACAAACAAACAACAACCAAAAAAAAAAAAATGTGGGGGAAAAGGAGAAGCAGAAAAAAAGGGACACAAATACTCAAAATACGTCAAACAAAGACACCCCACAAACTCCCTGTCACCACATTGGAACCGACTCACAGGTTTCCAAGGCTGTGAAGTGCAGAGACTGCCCATCTTTCTCCCTTGGAGCTGCGAGTGGGTTTCAACCACTACAGAGGCATGGCCTTTGTGTCGGCAGTGAACTCACTACAGAACCAGACCTCTCTTAGGGAAGTGCAGGGGAATAAATGGGAATTCTTCTTTTGGTGGAGTTCTAGTCTTGACTCACATTAAGTCAGATAAACACAGATCTTCATCACCAAAGTCTAACAACCAACTTTGTCTTGGAGTTTAGTTTTTCCGCTACTATTGAGGTTGTTAACAATTACAGCTTGCTTGACTCCACAATCAACACTCCTACACCAGTAGTCAGGATATCAAAAGATGAGTTTCATGGGAAAATCTGCTGCCAGAGACTTCCCTAGAGTACTAAGAAGCAACGATGTCAGTCTGGAGACTAAGGTGTGCCTGATCCAGGACATGGTCTTCGCAATTATTTGCTCTCTCTCATCAGAGAGCTGGACAATGACTAAGGATGACAGAAGAACCGATGCCTTTGAGTTGTGCTGAGAGAAGAGTCTTGAACATGACATGGACAGCCAATATAATAAATAGGTCTGTCTTGGAGAGGGTGAAATCAAGTTTCTCCTTGGAGGCTAGGATTTTGAAGCTCCATCTGACATACTTTGGATACCTGGCCAGGAGAGACCAGTCCTTGGAGAAGGACATCATGCCCATAAGGATAGAGGGACAGCGCAGGAGAGGAAGACCTGAGATCAGATGGACTGACACAATAACTGGGGTAACAGGGGTAGGTGTGTCACAACCAGAGAGACTGGCTCGGGAGAGGGCAGGGTTCAGAGCTGTTGACAGAGAGTCGACACATAACAACAACAACAGTATTTTGCTATACATTTCATTGTTTTAATCTCATCTAGGACTGATTCATAAATTTTAAAAATAGTTTTGTAGACAATATTATCTATGACCAACTTAGAAAATCAAACTCATTACCAACAATTCAACTAGATCATAACAAACCCATAAGGCAGAGAACTGACAGACAGATTTCCAAGATTGTACACTTAATGAAAGCTGATTGCCACATCTTTCACACAGCATGGCTGACTGGTTTGAACCACCAACTTTTCAGCAAGTAGTCAAGCACTTAACCACTGTGCCACCAGGGTTCAATAAAGAAGGAAAATAATGAATACAAGGAGGTAAGGCATGCTATATTTTCTTCCTCTCAAATTCTTGACTCTTGTAAAATGACATATAAATATCAAATTGTTGGAAATACTTCCCAAATGCCATATTTAATATATATTTTACCAGGCACTTTAAACAATTTGCATTTCAGTCTTTTTCCACATAGAATTTACTTAGAAAATTAAAATTCTGGGACACTTAATATTACATATTTTCCTTAGGAAAAAAATTTATATTTCTATTTACCAGAAATATCACAAAGCCCATTTTAACTCAAGACCATGATTTTTCCAAATATGTCTTTTCTATTGATGCATCTTAAAATGACTATGTCTCTGTCACAGGATGGGATCAATGGAGCCAGGCCAATATTGCCCTCATGAGCTATACTTGCTATCTCAGAAACACCTCTGCCACTGAGATGCTACCACGCAAACCTGATGCCCCTCTTAGGAAATCGTATAAATAAGCGACTCAAAATTCTCTCAGAGGAGCTTGATTTGTGTTGCCTTGGAATCCATCACGTCTCCTCTTCCGTGGTACCTTCTCTTAGAGTAAATGTGCCTGAAGGAAGACGGGTTTGTCACTCTGTCATTCTAGCTGTGACTGTTGTTGTTGGGTGCCATCAGGTCCACGATGACTCACATCATCCCTGGGAACCTCACAACGCTCTGCCCTAGCCTGCAGCATCCTGCTGACTGACATGTTCGAGCCCACTTTTGCAATCATTGTGTCAATCAGTCTCACTGGGGGTCTCCGTCTCTTCCCGCAAACCTCTACCTTTCCCAGCATGGCATCTTTTTTCAAAGGACTGGACCCTTCTGACACGTACAAAGGATGAGAGGTGAAACGTCACCATTTTTGGTTTAAGGCGCTCTTGGTTGAACTTCCTCCAGACAGATTTGTTTTTTCTTCTGGTAGTGCGTGGTCTAGTCAGTGGTCTTTGCCAACATCAGGGCTCAAGCCATCAATTCTCCTGCAGTCTTCCTCATTCACTGTCCAACTTTCACATTCATAAGAAGCAATAGAAGACATTATGGTATGGCTCAGGTGCAGCTAGTCTTTAAATAGAAACCCTTGCTCTTCAGCACTTTACAGAATGCTCTGACAGCAGTTATGGCCAATGCATTATTACCACGACCTCCTACAGATGTTGATTGTGGATGCAATTCAAATTAAATTCTTTACAATTTCAGGAGTCTTTCTCCATTCATCATAATGTTGCTTACTGGTTGAATGGTGAGGATTTTTGTTTTCTTGGTCTTAAGATGTAATACACACTAAAGATGTTAGTCTCTGATCTTCCTTAAGTGTTTTAAGTCTTCTTCTTTTTCTACAAGCAGGGTTGTGCCATCTGCATAACACAGCTTGCTGATGAGTCTTCCTCTAACCCTGAAGTCACCTTCTTCATAAAAATTCAGCCTCTCCAGTGGTTTGTTTGGCATACAGATTGGTGTGAAGGAAAGATACAACCCTGACATAACATTTTTTTCTGATTTTAAACTATTCAATGTCCCCCTGGTCTGTTTGTAAGACTGACTCTCAGTCTATATACAGGGTTTGCATGAGCACAATTAAGTGTTGTAATTCACATTCTTTTCAATGTCATTGCTAATGTGTTACAATCCACAGTTAAATGTTTTTATATAATGAGTAGACCACACGTAAACAACTTTCTAGTATCATCAGCTTTCAGTCAAGATCCATCTGACATCAGCAGTGTATCACTGTATCACTTAGTCCATTACTTCTTCTGAAGAGAGCCTGAATTTCTGGCAGTTCCATTCTGATATACTGTTCCAACCGTTCTGGAATAATTTTATACAATATTGTAAATGTATGTGATATTAATGATAAGGTCCAATAATAGCCATATGCTGTTGAATTACATTTTTTGGAATGCAATAAATATGAATTTCTTCCAGTCAGTTGGCCAAGCAGCTGACTTCAAAATTTCTTAGCATAGACTAGTGAGTATGTCCAGGTTGCACCTGTGTGCTGAAGTACTTCAAGTGATAATCCATCAATTCCTGGAACCTTGTTTTTGGGCCAATACTTTCAGTGAAATTTGAATTTTTTTCTTCAGTACCACTAGGTCTTGATAACTACTTTCTGAAATGCCTCCATCTATGTGAACCAATTCCTGCTGGCCCCATGACTGCATATTCTTTCCATCTTTTTATGCCTCCTGCATCATTCACTATTTTGCCCATAGAATCCTCCAGTATTGCAACTTAAGACTGGATTCCCCCCCCCTTAATTTCTTTCAGCTTGAGAATTCTGTGCATGATCTTTCCTTTTGGTTTCTAGTATCTTTCCCTTTTGGCTTCTAGGCCTTTGTAAATTTTGTTATAATATTCTATTTTATATTCTCAAGCCACTTTTTAAAATCGTCTGACTTACTCTCTTATTAGAACACTTTCTCCTTTTTCTTTACCGTCTCTCATTTCAATAGAAAGTTTTAAAGTCTTTAGATACCAATTCTGGGAGACCTGGGAGCCTAGTGGTAAGAAATTGCACTGCCAACATGAAGGGACACAGTTCGAATCCATCAGCTGCTCTGTAGAAGAAAGATGGGCACTCTCCCGTGGAATTCACAGTCCCTGGAAACCTACTGGAAGGTCAGCTATGGGTTGGTTCCAACTTGACAGCAAACAGCAAAAACAACACGCCCTCCACTCTGGTGTTGCGTGTGGGAGACAAGACACTTATCTGGAGTGTTAGCCTGCAACACTTCTTGACTGATCATGAAATGACAATTAGGGAGCAAGTATCAAATATCAAAGGACCCCAAAGGCCACAAGGACTTTGGGTAGGAAAGTCCCAGACCGTACTGAATGGGCAAGTAACTGCCAAAAGCAATTCTCTCACATTCCTCTGGATGGAAAGAGGCTTCCTGCCATCAACGGTAAAGCAAGCTTGTTTCTTTCCATTCCTTTTCTTCTTTCTCTCCTTCTGGATCTTAATTTCTGGGGCTTGGACTTTGAAATAGAC